ATATCCCATTACAAGAGTGATGAAGAGAACAAAACGTAAGGGATTAGTTTTATAAAAGCATTAGCTTAAGAATAATTCCATTAATATAATAAGAAAGTCAAATTGATAAAGGAAGAAAGCATATTTTGTTAAAGTATCATGATTTGAAATTGTTTTATTAGAAAAATGATTTTAAGAATATTATTAAAAAAACACTCCTAATTTTATACATCCATGATCTTTTCTAGTGACACATGAATAAGGTATAATAGCATAATTTTTTTTTTGAAAATGTATAAGTATTCCTGATTTTATGTCTGATATTTCAGAGACATGCTTATAATATTAAGATTTTATTACCTTTGAACTTATTTTATAATTAATTTTTTACCTCTTTTTGACCTACAAAGAAAATTATTTATAAAATAAGTTTGGAATAATAGGATATTAGTATAGTATAAATGTTTATCTGAGATTTCGGATACTTATGCATTTTTCCTTCTCTTTCTTATATCACACAGTGTTCAAAGTTTTGACTGAATCTGGATCACGTACTTTATGATTTATTAGGAGTGTTGCGTTCAATATAATTTTCTCTATATCAAAAGCTCAAAAACTAAAACTCTTGATTAAGAGCGAAACAATCTCGACTCATAAGGCATATTGGTGGTATAGTACAACATTATGTCATAGTGTTGTGTTGTTTTCTTTATTATAGGAACCTTATAACATGAGATAAAATATTGACGGATGAATCTTAAAAGTATTTTATCTTAACATAGTGGATTTACAAGCATTCACTTTTTAAAGTATCCCTTTTTTCGAACTTTAATTATAAATTAAGGAAAAAATTCTTTGAATTAAAACTTTTCACAAACAAACACACACTGCATCATAGCTTCAACGAGGTGAACTAAGTGACAAATATTTTAGCAAGAAAAGAATCTAAAATTACATAAATAAATTAATTTTCTTTGATATTAAAAAATTTCATCGATATTTGTCTCGAATAAATTAAAAATAAATAAAATAAAAACTCTTTTTATTAAACTTATTAAGTCATCGTGTATATCAGATGATTGTAATACTACTACTACTAATATATTCAACGATGACACTTTTATGTATTGATGCATATATATTAAGTAATAATTTAATATAAATATCTTGTTGACCAAAATAAATAAATATACATATACAACAAGAATATATTTATGTTGACCACTATGTATATTGGATCCTCTTAACATCTTTTGAAAGTGATGAAGAAATATTTGTATATTACACAAATTGAGTGCTGCTCATATACAGAATCTTGATCTTGCAATATTTTATATTAGAATTAGAAACTAAGTACTACTAATATGTAATTAACTCTAAGGTTATAAATAGAACATATTCCTATTTTTTATGCTTATAATGACATCACTTTTTGTGTTTTGAATCTTAACGTTTAAAATTTTCAGAGTAAAATTCCCTATCTAGAAGATCACTCAACTTTAGTTAATTGGCTATCAAAGTCAATCAATATTATTACCCTGTCTTCAGAAAATATATTCAACTTAACATAGTTAGTTTTCATGGTCATTCGACTTTGTCAAGATAGCTTTCATGGTCATTTAAGCCGGAAATATATTTTTCGATACCAATTTATTCACATGGTATCTTCAATTTTTTTTAAAATATATTTTTAAAATTAAAATCAATATTTAGATTTATTTAGGACTTAACCTTAAGCCTAATTCAATTCTTGATCCAACCCAACCTAAAATGACTATGAAAACTAACTAGTTCAATGTTCAAGATAATACGTGTTCTAATGTTATTCGAGACAACATGATGTAAATTAAAATATTATAAGAATGTCAAACGTCCCATTGAGAAGGAGGTGATTCGCCGAAATTATTTAGTGATTCAAATAGTATGTGTTTTCGTGAGAAAAAGATAAAAGATGTATTTATATACATTGAATTACCTTTTGATCAATTCCACCCTATGCTCTACTCTATTTTGTTTTTGTTAATTAGTCGATACTTTTTTGTAAAATTATTTTAATTGAATTTATGAGTAAAATACTAAAAAGTAAAAACTATTAAAAGGTAAAAGCTTTTATGAGTGGGCTTGAGAATTGTCCTAGCCCACTTAGACACTGCATTTAGGCCCACGATGGTTTTTGATAGAATTAATAGAAACTTTTTTAAAAAAATTAGCAATTAAGTCATAATATCCAACATATTTAGTCAAAATAAAAATACTTTAAAATATTAATTTAAAATGTCAGAATGACAATATTTTAGAAAATAATATGCATTTAGATTTGATTTAAATTGTATCCATCATCAATGTACACTTTTTTACATTGACACATACTTTTACGGCAAGTTTCTTTTTTATTTTTAATATTTTTTATTTTATAAAATATAAATATCAAATATAGTGATAAGGTAATTAGGATTCTTCTTTTATTATATCCATTAATTTATGATTCTCTTTCCTTACTAAATAAAATTACCATATCTTTTACCATTTAAAATAACAATGTAGCAAATTGAAAACATCCACCATTGAAACAATTTAAAAAGAAACTATTACGAATCATCAAAATTTCTTTGTTTTCTTTCTTAATTGAGTTTGTTGGGTTGTTGCTCCTTTTTTTTGGAATTTCACTCCTCCTGATTAATCTAATACTCAATAACCTTTCTTCTTCACCTTTTACGTTTCTATCCCCACCTTTCATATTCTAGCCCTTTTTTCACGTTCACGTTTCTATCCACACCCTTTTTTTCATGTTTTTAGATCTCGTGAAGGTGCTCACAAATTGTTCATTAAAATATATATTTTAATTCAAGAAAATTTCTCTATCGTTAAACTAAATTTCTTTATTAATTAGTTGATTTCTCGATTGGCAGGGTAATTTTCATTATTTATTTAGATTTATTTTGATTTGATGTTTAAGATCACCGGTTATGATATGTATTTCAAATTCATATGTATTACGGATTTCAATATCACTATTTATGATTTATAAATCGGATTGTACATATTACAAATTTTTCGTTAAATTTTTTATTATTTTTATGCAAGTTTGTTTACATATTCATCTAATATTTATATATCTCAGAGTTTTAGTCGATTAAATAATTTTTTTTTATCTTTTTCTGATTTCGTTTTAACATTTCAGATCTATTAGAATCTACAAATTCATTCATATGTTTATTTTGTTTGATTTTTAATACATTTGTATTTGCTTTGAGGGTTTTAGATTCGGGGAAAATATATATATGTCTACAATGTCTGTATTCATACTATCTATATATCAAAAAGTTTTACATTGTATTTTAGTCTCAATTAGTAAACCAACATGTTTGCATTTCCTTCTTAATTTGTATTCGTCCTAACTGTATGCTAACGACTTTATATTTCATTGGGCATTCATTTTGTATTTCAATCTCAATTTATACGTGAACAAGTTTGTATTTTTCTTTTGTTTGTATTCTATCTAATTGTATATCAAACAAGTTTGTATATTATACTTTACCTTTCAAAGTCACTTTGTATTTCAATTGAAGAGAGTTTCTTTTGTATTCACAACTTTATATTCAATCTCACTTTGTATTTATAACTTTGTATATTCATCTTATTTTTGTATTCATATTGTTGTATTCAACATATAGTTCATGATCTATTAGTTTGTATTTTACCTTTCAAAGTCACTTTGTATTTCAAATGAAGAAAGTATTCTTTTTTTATTCACAACTTTATATTCAAGTTTACTTAGTATTTATAACTTTGTATTTTCATCTCACTTTTGTATTCATATATTGTTGTATTCAACATATAGTTCATGATCGATTAGTTACATTAACTTAATGAGATACAAATTATTATATGCATTCAAACAGAAAAAATAGCTAGTAAACTAAAAAAAAATTCATTCATTATACATCATAATTTGGATACAAAATATCCAAGAAAAGCTACAAATCGCAATACATACGAAAATTTCACTGATTCAATTAGAAAAAAGCACGCTTGTACTCTACATATATGAATATCTCATCCAAACAAATAAAAAAAATTAAAATAAAATACTTGATTGTTTTTCAATTATTCACTGAATGTGACAAATTTATAGTCGTTAATTTTAAAAAATTCTGTCTCAAATATATGTTGTATTCAACTTGAAGAAGCTTTAAATGTTATCACATGAATGATTCGAAAGACAAACTAAATTTTTTAAATTATTTTTATGTTCTTAAGATGAAAACAAAAATATACTCGACAAAAGATGACTATTAATGCTCTTTTCAAAGCGTAACTAATATGTGTTTAAAATCTTTTTTTACCATTTTTGATTTTTTTGTTCTATAATTATATTCGTATTCTTCCAAATTAATAATTAAAATAAAATAAATACATAACTAATCCCTTAGCAAACTAAAATAATGACATTTTTACTAAATAATGAAACTGTTGCTAAGGAGTTCCACTGAAAGCTAAAATATTCCTGTTTTGAAAATTTTCCCCTAATTTTTATTTTTGAAATACAACTCATATACGAAATATGATGCTATTTCTATAAAAATATATTTTATGTACAAGTCAACTTGCTAAAATAGATATAAAATTGATATATAAAATAAATTTTATCATCTAGATACTATATATGTGATATATATCATGTTGATGTCATTAAAAATTGAGTTTCATTTTTAAGGAATGAATCAACAATCTATCATATGATACTTTATCGATATATGATATATCAGATCGATATCATTAAGGATTGATGAGTTTTATTTTTTAGGAAATGAAACAATTATCTATGTACCTTAACATTCTATGACATAGTATGATATAGCTAGAAATGATATACCTTAATGATACCATGTAAATACATAGATATATTGTAATGACATCAATGGAGGACTGATGAGTCTCAATGAAGGATAGAAACAAATCTCAATGATATTATAATAGTATATAAATATATTATTATCATATCATGAAGGACTTATGAGTATCGTACTGAATGATGGAAGAATACATCAACAATATTATGTTAGTATACAATATACTATGATGGTATCACGAACAATTAAGGTGAGTCTCATGGAAGGAGTAAAGCAGACAATGGTAACATGATAGAATATATTATATATTGAAATAGTATTATTTAGGATTGAACCAAACCTCAATGATATCACATCTTTGTAATAAAGTTGTTCCGAATTTTCAAAAAGACACCCTAACTTTGCAACCGTCATATTATCCCATTAGAGTTTTTAGCATCTTTGTAGAAGGGTCGTTTTCACCCGTTCCCTCACCCGGGACAACGCGTGTGATGCCCACGCAACGACCTAATTCATTTCAAAAATAGAATAGTTATCTTTTATCATTTCTCAACATTTTAGAGTCTCTTCGTCTCTTAATCCAAACGATTATGGTGATTTTTCAGCTTTCTTGATTTCAAACATTACATTTGACATTTTCCTTCAAAACCTAATCACAAAAATATCTTCATTACTTAAAACTAAATGAAATTAAAAAGAAATTAAATCTTAAAAAACTTCAAATTAACCAACTTCTATTGGAAATTAAAAGAGAATAAGTTTCAATCTTATTGCGCTTGAGAAAGATGATGAATTCGTAAAAGAGAATACCAAAATTGATGATGAAATGGTCCGTCAAGAGAGGCACCAATGACCTTTTTTAGCTTTCTTTTGGGGAAGATGATGAAAAGGAAGAAAAACGATTAATTGATAAAGAAAGCAAGTGACACATGTCACTTTTAAATGTATTAGTGAAACACTGCTTCACACGCATGTTGTGCGTGTTTTCACAGTCTAGGTTGTGGAAAGGGTCAAAACAACTATTTTACAAAGATGTCAAAAACTTAAGTAGGGTAATATGATAATTGCTAAGTTAATGTATCTTTTTGAAAATTTGGAACAATTTCAATGGTGACTTTATGTCTTTTATCATATATCAATAGATTATGATTATATTATGGAGGACTAGAGCAGTCCCTCATGATAGCATGCCAACGTATAAAGATATTGTAATGAACTAATGGTATCATACAGATCATTGAAGGAATGAGGCAAATCCTTCATGATACAATGCCGCCATATAAACATATTGTAATAATATCATGGAAGACTAAATTCTCGAATCTTGAATCTGGTCAAGATCGAATTTTGATTTGGTGTCTAATGTGGGTTAAGATTTGAGGTTGGATCTCGACTAAGGTGTTAGGGTGGGGTCTTAAATCACATGTCGGAGTCAAATTTTGAATCGAGAGTCGAGGTTGGATCCTAATTCAGAATTCAAATCTTGGATCAAGAGTCGGGGTCGAATCCCCTTTTGAAAGTTGGGTCTTGGTCAGAAGTTCAATTCGTGTTCTAAATCGAGTGTCGGAGTTGGGTCCCAATTGAGAAGTTGGATCCTAATTTGAATGTCGGGTCTAAGTTTTGGGAGTTAGGGGTAGGTTGCAGTCGGTCTTAGTGTTCGATTCCTAATCAATTGTAAGAGTCATGTACCATTTTGGATGTCGAGGCCAAAGTCGGGTCACATGTCAAATATAGGTTCCCGAATAAAAAAATCAGGGTCAGGTCCTTGGTCGGGTCCTGAATCAATCACCTATATCGTGTCCCAATTCAAGTATCGAGGGTGAGGTTGAAGTCAGGGTCGAATCCCAGTTTAAAATGTCGGGTCTCAAATTAAAAGTCGAAGTTAAGTCCTGGATTGGGTGTTGAAATCGGTCATCAAGATTGTGTCTCAATTTTAGTGTCGAGATCAAGTCTGAATCGATTATCGGGTTTGATTTTTGAGTTATTTTCTATTTATTAGCAACAAAGTAAAAGATATTTTCTGAAAAAAGTTTTCTATTTACCAATTAAACACTAGAAAATATTTTCAATTTACTTAGCAAAATATATAAAAAAATAAGTTTCAACTTATGTACTTTTGAAGAAAACATTTTCTAGAAAAACATTAAATTAGTACCAAACACTTAATTAAAAGCTACACGTAATGTGTGATTTATTCATAGTTTATATGCCCAATTGTTGAAGACATACCATTGCCAAATCAACCCAAAGCAACGAATCAAAGCATGACAAAATTATGCTTCTTGTAAAATACTACTATTCTCCATCATTGTCTATAACGAGCTTGCACTGTTAGCTCACCATTTCAAACCTGTTTTCGCCAATTTTTTCACATACCCATTTCGTTTTTCTTGCTGTTTTCCCATTCCCAGCTCTACAATTTTGGGGTGATTGAGTAAAGCTACAGTGGTTTCAAGTTTTTCAAACTTCCCATTTCGTTTTTCTTGCTATTTTAGTCTTACTTCAGTGTTGTCTTGTTGAGTATATCCAGGGAAACCTTTTGGGTGTTGAAAGTTTTGTTCTTGGCAAGTTCAGATGAGAATTGAATTCCAAAATTGTTGCACAATAGTTTAAATATAATATTGGGATCATGTACAGTGCTAATTGGACTGGTTTTGGATTGGCTGTGGCGTCTAGCGCTTTTATTGGTTCCAGTTTCATTATCAAGAAGAAGGGTCTTCAGAAGGCAGGCGCCTCTGGTACTCGGGCCAGTGAGTAATTCATTTTCTTGATAGCAAAGTGTTTTTAGGTCTAATTGTGAATAATTTATTGTTTTTTTTGTTGATTTTGAACTTTGTCAATGCTTCTGGTAGTGGATTCATGGAGCTTTAGTTGTGTCCCCATTGGTATTTATTGCTAAAGTTGTTTGATATGCTCAGTATTTATGTTATTTCTCCTTATACTACTTAGGGCTGTTTTTTTCTTCAGCTGAGGGTCTATCGATAATAGCGTCTTTACCTCTAAGTTAGTGGTGAGGTCCGTGCACATTCTACCTCCTTAGACCCTACTTAGTCGGATTACACTAGGTTTGTTGTTGATGTTGTTTGATGAGCTCAGCTCTTTATATGTGTGTGTATGTGTCAATGTATTACTTCTTGCTAATATTTGGAAGGTTGACGTTCGTTAAAATCATACAAAAGCAAGTTGTTGTTAGGTGTTTGCCCTAATTTACTTGTCATATTTGGATTTTCCTTCTTCTTGGAGGAAGGATAAACATTTATTATAAGTGATTTTTATCAGGAAAATATAAATCTTCCATATTTGGCTAATAGTTTTCTTGGAAGAACATTTTTGAGTTTCTATTAATTGAGGAATTCCTTCTCAATATAGAGCATCCATATGTAGTCTCAAGAGAGTCTTGTTTAGGGCAAAAGTAAACTTCTTTACGAGTGAAAATTGTGGGGGTTTTCTCTTTATGTGTTTGCACTCTTTTTTTTTAATCTTTGTGAATTTCTCATGTAATTTTTTTTTATATATTTGGTATATTTCTCTTTGTTATCTTATTTATCATCGTCCAATGTATGCTTTATTAGCTTCTTCATGACACATGGTAGTTTTGATCCTTACAATGACCACAAAACCCCCACAATCTCTCAACTAAGGCAAATTAGGTAAGAATCACAGTTGAAGTAAATGATTTGTTGTAGATGACGCTAGCTATTTGGGAACAAGGTTAAAACCTTGTATCTTAGTGTACAGAAAAGAAGTGTGACATTTGGAGAATCTCTTAACTCTAGAAAACCTCAGTTTTCCTTAATATAAACTTCTTGTAGTATTGAAATTGAAATGGGCCCAGATATGTAGAATAAATATAGTGAACTTATAAAGCTGACACCGACTATTACATGATCAAATCAAAATTAGTCGATTGAAAATCATTCTGCACTGTAATAAGCTGAATGAATTTCCTTGACATTGTAATTTATCAGCTAGTTTACACATTAAAAGTAGATACATCGGGTACATCTTGTAAAGTTTAGAAGATGCTTTTCAGTATCAGCATTAAATAGAAGTTTAGTTTGAAAGCTGGTTATATGAACTCTGTTGCTCTGTCTATTTGACTATAAAATATTTGTTTCTTGCTGAAGGCTCGGGCGGATATGGTTATCTACGGGAGCCTCTTTGGTGGATTGGGATGGTAACTAGTAAGTCTTGAATTGCTTCTTAAATGTCAGAGAATATGTTCCTGAATTTGTTATTCTAATATAGAGTGCAATGTTCACCGTAAATCCTTGCAGTGATTGTTGGAGAATTTGCAAATTTCGTGGCTTACATTTATGCGCCAGCAGTTCTTGTGACACCGCTTGGAGCTTTAAGTATAATTGTGAGGTAAATTTTCCACTTTACCTTATCATTTTCTGGGCAATGGCTTATTCGGTTTTCTTGCATATCATTTGGCGCTTTGCTGCAGTGCTGTTCTAGCACATTTCATACTGAAGGAAAAATTGAAGAAACTGGGAGTATTAGGATGTCTTTTATGTATAGTAGGTTCCGTTGTCATTGTTTTTCATGCACCTCGTGAACATGATCTCAATTCAGTGGATGAGATATGGGCATTAGCTACACAACCAGGTGTGCTGATGTACTGTGCTGTATTTCCTTGAATATCATTCTTATTTGCCTTGCTCATATATCCTTGTTTTGATGTTCCACTCTTTGTTTTGCAGCTTTTCTTTTGTACACTGCATCAGCAGTTGCAATAACATTGGTACTAGTCTTGTATTGTGAGCCTCGCTATGGTCGGACAAATATTATGGTCTATATTGGTGTTTGCTCCATCATTGGGTCCTTGACGGTTAGTGCATCTATTGTATTGATCTATATCCCTACAGTGAAGAAAGAGAAGGAAGGAAGGGAAGAAACATGTGTCACAACCGTGCTTTAGTTTGTAGCTCTGGCCTGACTGAGTTAACCTTGTAGCTAAATTAACAGTTTGCAAAACGCCTCATCTTTTAAACTCAACATTATCCAAATTCTACCTTTCTCCTTGGTGTTGGAATAGCATAATTTGACCACTAAATGGATCATATTTTTTAAGTTGTTATGAGTCAAACTGCTCCTGGGTCCTTGATCCGTTGCTAGTTGTCACTGAAGTAAAAGAAAACTTCTCATTTAGGTATTAATGGATGTATGGAACTTGAGATATTACTCCAGAGCTTTAGAGTGCTGTAACGTGTTCGCATGCCAGTAGATGTCTTTTCCTGCAGCTATGCTTATACAAATGAGTGAATGACTATACTTTGATCTGTTATAATTTATAAGGCATCCAGCGTTGCTGTTGTTTTTCCATGACTAGTAGGTGTGTAACTCAATAAAAGATTGCAGTGCCATTACTTTATTTTATTAGTTTTTGTCTTTTACATGAATTTTTTAAATAAGTCTAAGTTGCTAGTTGAGATAAGCTTTTATCTAGTCACATTTTGTTAGTCAGAGGTCGAGTTTTTTTATGACTTCTTTATCGATCGAATTCACTATCTTATGAATAATACTCTCATGTATTTGCTTGAAAAACTCGATAAATGACAGTTTATGAATTGGTTCCTCTCTTAATTTTTCTGTATTAATTGAGCTACTATTGCAGTTCTCTTTTCCGAACTGACTTAGAGAGAGTGCTTCTGTTGCCAATGAAACATGATAAAATTATTCCTCCTGAGTAGTAAAGAAAATATAGGAACTGGTTCTTCTAAGTTTCTCAGAAGTACAATTGGTAAAAATTGCATGTAGCAGTCAATTTAAGTTTGTTTGTTTGTTGCTCTGTTGTAGGTTATGAGCATCAAAGCTATCGGTATAGCTATAAAGCTTACATTGGAGGGTTCAAACCAAGCTGCAAATTTTCAAACTTGGGTGTTTGTGATGGTTTCTGTCACATGTATAATTACTCAACTAAATTACTTAAATAAGGTAGACTTTATATTTCTCCTTATAGTATGCAGTGATGTTTGAAGTCAGAGAGTACTGTTAGAATTATGCTTTTGGACTATAGTAACTTTGTTTTACTGTGTTGTTTTTAAATAAATCCTAGTTAAAGTTTGTTAGATAGCTACCCTTAATTTCTAGTAATTAGTTACTCCCTTTGTCCCAATATATGTGATATTAGTTTGACTTGGCACAAAGTTTATGCAATATTAGAAGACTTTGCAGTTTTCCAAAACCACTCTTGAAAGAAGTGGATTTTTAAATAGAAGAATACACTTTTGTGGACTTTTTGCCAAATACCTGTGATTCGGCATGGGTAAAATGTTGATAATGTCATTAAACATTTGTCAAATAAGAAAATGTGTCATTTTTTTGGGACTAAATAAAAAGTAAAGTATGTCATATAAACTGGGATAGTGTCTATGGAGATACTCCGGGCTAGGATAATGATCATATTTTTACTCTTTTTATTTCAAGTCCCCGTAAATGTAGAGTAAGCTGAATAAAATAGTTCCCTTTGATAGGCATTGCAGCATTTTCCTCTCAGTCTTGCTCTGTTGTTTTCCGAAATTTCTTTGCTAAAAACCAACAATTGGTAAAAGAACATTTTTCAACGCTCCCCTTATTAAATTGCCCACGCACTAGATCTCCATTCTTGGGCGTGAGGTAGTGTGTGAAGAGATCTCTTTAATATGGCTTGGACTATTCTCACCACATGGGTGATCTCTTGAGCTATCTTTTGAGGTTGAGTAAGAGCCAAGATCCATTTCTTTTTACAAGTACTAAGTAATTGGAGAACTTATGAACCAACACTCATTGGCATTTGTTCAAATGTTGAGCTAATATTACAGGGATTACTATGGAAACTACATGTTATTGGAACTTGCTTAGACTTGTGATGTAAATTGGACAAATGCCTGAATTTGGATCTTGCAGGCATTGGACACATTTAACACAGCTGTGGTTTCTCCAATATATTATGCCATGTTCACATCACTTACAATTTTAGCCAGTGCCATAATGTTTAAGGTATTCTGAAAGTTTATGTTCGGGATGCAAGGGAGCCTTCTCTCATTTTCATTTCTAATGTCATATCAATCTCTCAGGATTGGTCTGGTCAGAGTGCTAGCAACATAATTTCAGCGCTTTGTGGCTTTTTAACTGTGCTCTCTGGTACGATGGTTCTTCATAGTACAAGAGATCCAGATCCTCCTCCTAGTACAGGTATTTACACTGAGCTTGATCAGGAAAAAACAATGTACCTCATCATTCTAGTTTGTGCAACAAGGCAAAAATGTTATGCATACTGATTATTGTGATAAAAGTTTTAGGTGATACTTGATACTCTTTCTTGTTATGAAGTAGTAATAGGTGTGGATAAACTTGTCTCCTTCAGTAGATGCTCTTTTAAACTTGATAAATCTCTTTGTTGCTATGGAGCTCAAGTGCTTCTTTAGAATGAATTAGTCAGCTTTTTGATTGGAAATAGCCTCTCGTTCAAAGGGAATAAGACATTGTTCTCCTGTTTATGAGGTGATCTGGAGATAGCGTATCACTTTCTGTTGGCAGAGCATTAATTGATGAAGATGACTTATCATAGTCTAGACATTCTGAATGTATATATTCTTGTTTGTTGCAGTTCTTGCAACCAGAAACTTGTTGCTTTTGGCACATCTTTGATTAGTTTAAATATCATATATTACTTGCAGATTTGTATGCACAACTTTCCCCTCAAATATCATGGTTAATACATGCCAATGGAGAAATATGGAAGCAGAAAGAGGACGGCTTGCATTCAGAATTTGTTGCAATAATCAGGCAGGATCATTTCAAGTAGCGTGAAAGAGGAACTTAGATGATTGGTTGGCGTCACTTCTCTCTGCCTGTTCATTTACGTCCAAAAAAAAAAAAATCATCGTGCCAGATATTGGATTTTCGGTCATCTCCCCTTTCTCAGTTTCTGCTTGAGAGTGTTTTCTGTTTTTATTCTTTTGGTGAGATGTCTGATATCTGTTGATTATCCTCGGCCATTTCTATATGACTCATTCTTTCGGCCTAGTTTTTAGATTTCTTGGTTTGGTGGGCACCTAGATGTTGTATAGCGAGTAAAAAATGGTAAGAGTAGTATTTAGTTGATAGATTGTTCTGTTTGTGAAGAACATTCTTTACAGCCTTAAGCAATACAAGGATAGTTCGAGTATCAACACTTTCTGTTCCTTTGTGTTGTGTACATAAACTTTGTCGAATGGACACAGAAAGAAGTTGATGTTGCATTTGTTAACTGGAAGCATGGAATTGCAGACATTTTCACCATACAATACAAATATGAAATGTCAGATACATTTAGCCAAAACTCGGCTAACTTTCTGCCATCTTCAACCACATTTGGCTAATGTTCCACCGCAGAGATGTCTATTTCCTCCATACTCAAAATCAGTCAATCCTGAGAATGGTGGTATGTTACCAGAAAGATTGTTGTTAGCCAAGGAGAGCACCTTGAGCCTTGTTAATTGAGAGATTTCTGGTGGAATATTTCCAGATAGTTTGTTGTTATTGAGAATCAACTTGTTCAAGTAGGTGCAGTTTCTAAGTTCAGCAGGTATAGAGCCAGAGAAACTGACAAGTCGAGTTTTACTAAATATGCAGTCCAACTACAAATCTCTGAAGGAATGGGACCGGAGAACCTGTTACCAGAGAGATGAAGAGTAGCCAAAGATGAGCAACATTTGAAGGCATCTGGGAGCTGTACACTGAGATTCATGTTTGGAAGTGAGAGGCTGATCATCCGGTTCTCGAGGTTGTTCCAGTAAATGACACCAACAAACTTGCAGATAAACCCCATGGAGTAGTTTGAGAAGTTCCAAGAATTGAAATTTACATTAGGATCCTTAAATGAGTCCTTCAGTCCTTGCAAGCACTTAATATCATTTGATGCAGTAACATTGTGAAGTAGCACTGAAAATGAAAGAAAAAATATTGTAGATAGAGTTGTGTCTATTTGTTATCCATCCAAAATTGAAGAACATAATTCCTTACGAAGCCAAGTTAAAGAACACGTTTTATGTATTATGCAAAGTCAGAATACAAAGTCTTTAACCCAAAGCAAGAACTCACATCACAGTCACTAAAATGAAACAGTACATACATTTTGACAATCTAAAAGACATTCACAACCTCTCCTTCAAAACTCTTGAGAGAAAAGGAGCTTGATACATGGCTAGATGCTAAGATATTCCCAGTACAGACATCAAGCTTTTTCAATGTTTTCTTCACAGGATGGTGCAAGAACAAGAAATCGTCACGCCACAAGAACAACACCTCTCCATCCTCCAAAACTTTCACCATATAAATTATTTCATTGCCCAACCAATCGTTGCATTCAGGAGAAATGTCTATAACAATCTGTTTAACCCATGAATCAGTAACTCCGTATTCTTTCATCACCCATACCTCAAAATGAGTATCTTCATAATTGTCACACACACATAGACAACGTCCAAAGACTCCCAAACTTCGCGAATACCAATACCTTTCCTTGTTGTACATTGGAGCTGTGGGGAAAGATTCAAACAACTCATTCTCCAAATCAAACAAACATATTGACTCATTTCCTTCAGCATCATAAACCAACCAATGAATCTTCGCGTAGAGGTTCACCCCATATGACTTGAAGGAAAACATAACATGTCCTGCATTTCTCCAATACCCTTTGCCAATTGTGTAAACTTGACATTTAGACTTGTAATAACTAGTATTATCATCATAAATTTCTTCTTGGTAAATTCTAACCACTTTGTACTCGAACCTAACAGGATCGAAACCAAAGCTATACATGACATCATTGGGCCACTCTCTTATCCCTCCAGCCTCTGGAAGAATGATATACTCGCTGGTTCTTGGGTTGAGGATGTAGACAGTTTCAACATAATCAGGGAAGTAACTAAAACAAATGAAACCATGAACTGACCTAACCATCCAAAATGGATCAATAGGGAAGTAATGTTGTAGATCAAGGTCAAGTTTTGGATCATGACAATAAGAATGAGTATCCTCATCTTTGAATTTCAAGAACTTTAAAGTGTTGGTACTAGAAGTCTCATCAGAGCTGAATTGGTTGATGATGATGCTGGCTGGAGATGTTGAACGTGATAGTTTTAAGAATTCGGAATCTAAGGTTAGGTTTAGAAAAGATTTGGAGACGGTTTTGACGTATAAGAGTGTGGTGGGAGGTAACCTAGAGAGAATTTCTAACAAGATTGGGGATGGAAGATCCATCAGTGATGTTGCTTCATCAATACTCATTTCTTACAACTCTTTGGTTGATGAAACATGCACTAGAAATGTTGTGTCCAAAATGTTTTTAACAAGTGTGTTAGCTGAATTATTCAACACGTTGGAAGAATATTCAACATTAAGTATGCCATATTTATTGAAGTTTCAACCTTTCACTTTCAAGATCAATGGTCAAAAGTCTAGAATTTGAGTAATCAACTATGCTTTTGCCAACATGACTTAGTCTAGCAGGCTTATTGTCCCTTAGAACCAATGCTAATAACTTGGTTTAGAATACATGTTTTCTTGTCCTAATTTAGTGATATTTACTTTATGTAGCATAATGTCAATATCCTTTCTGTGGCAAGGCCCATGAGGGGTCGGGGTGGGCTGAGTCAGAGTCATAATCAAACATGACGCTTGGTTAAGAAATAAAGTTACGACTTTGCTATAAGCTATAGCTTTTGACATAACAAAATTACTTATAATTCAAAGCAAAGAAATGGAGTTGACATGAGTAAATATATAAAAGACAATGATAATAATATACTCAAGTAGTACAAAACACACCTTTGACAATAATCTAAAACACCTTCACAACCTCTCCTTGAAAACCCTTGAGAGAGAAGGAGCTTGATACATGAGCAGATGCCAGGAAGTTCCCATCACAAACATGAAGCCTTTTCAAAGTTTTCTTCACAGGATGGTGCAAGAACAAGAAATCCTCGCTCCACAAGAACAACACCTCTCCATCATCAAAAACTTTCACCAGATTAATCATTTCATCGCACAACCAATCGTTGTATTCAGGAGCTATGGTTATGACAATCTGTTTCACCCATGAATCAGTAACTCTGTATTCTTTCATCACCCATACCTCAAAATGAGTATCTGCATTATTATCACAAACACATAGACAACGACCAAAACCCCCCAAACTTCGTAGATTTGGACAATTTTCCTTATTGTACCCTGGAGCAGTTGGGAATGATTCAAACAACTCACTCTCCAAATTAAACGAACATATTAACTCCTTTCTATTAGCATCAGAAACCAACCAATCAATCCTTCCATATAGATTGACCCCATATCCGCTGCATCTAAAATGGAAAATGACATGGTCAATACTTCTCCAATAGCCTTTCCCAATTGTGTAAACTTGAGCTTCAGACTTGTAGTTATGAAAATCATCGTGAATCTCCTGTCGATAAATTCTAACCACTTTGTACTGTAACCTAACAGGATCGAAGCCAAAGCCATAAGCAACCAAATTAGGCCAATTTCTTACCCCCTTGTGGCTTGGCTTAGGAAGGATGATATATTGTCTTGTTGTTGGATTGAGTATGTAGATACTATCAGCATCACCGACAAAGCTATTAAAACAAACAAAACCATGAACCGATCCAACGAGGAAAAATGGATCTATTGGAAAGGAAAGTCTCAGATGAAGGTCAACATGTGGATCATGATCACAGTTATTATCGACACAAACGAATCTCAACAATTTTAAGCTGTTAATCCAAAAAGAGTTGAATTGGCTGATGATGCTTGCTGGAGATGCTGAACGTGACATTATTAAAAATTCGGAATTTAAGGTTAGATTTAGATAAGATTTGGAGAGGGTTTTGACGTGTAAAAGTGTGGTACGAGGTAATGTAGAGGGAATTTGTAACAAGATAGGAGATGGAAGATGCATCAGGGATTTTTCTTCATCACTCATTTCTTACAAATGAATGATTAATAAACTATTAACACAAACCCAAAACAGATACTTATATTTAATAATTCAACTATCAATTAAATAAATTCTAACTAATATACTTACAGTCCTACACAGAGAAACAGACAGAGGAAAACACAGTTTTGCTACTTGGTTTTAGTGCGGTCATATAAATAAACTGAACTGTTAAGAAATAGTTTAACTATCATATATTACTTGCAGATTTGTATGCACAACTTTCCCATCAAATATACTCTATTTTAGTAGTACAAAATACATGCTTCTAAAAGACCTTCACAACATAGAATAGTAACAAAAAAAAAGTATACTCAAGTTGTACAGTACACACCTTTGACAATAATCTAGAAGACATTCACAACTTCTGCTTCGAAATTCTTGAGAGATAAAGAACTTGATACATGCCCACATGCCAACAAGTTCCCTTCACGGATATCCAGCGATTTTAAAGTTTTCTTCACAGGATGGTGCAAGAATAAGAAATCATTGCGCCACAAGAACAACACCTCTCCATCTTCAAAAACTTTCAACACATTAATCATTTCATAGCACAACCAATCGTTGTATTCAGGAGTTATGTTTATCACAATCTCTTTAGCCCATGAATCAGTAACTCCGTATTCTTTCATCACCCATACCTCAAAATGAGTATCTGCATTATTATCACACACACATAAACAACGTCCAAAAACTCCCAAGCTTCGTAAATTTGGACAATTTTCCTTATTGTAACCTGGAGCAGTTGGGAATGATTCAAACAACTCATTCTCTAAATAAAACAAACATATTAACTCATTTCCATTAGCATCAGAAACCAACCAATGAATCCTTCCATATAGATTCACCCCATATGCCCTGCATCCAAAACAGAACATGACATGTTCTACACTACTTCTCCAATACCCTTTCCCAATTGTGTAAAATTGTGCTTCAGACTTATAATAATGAAAACCATTAGTATCATTATCGCGAATCTCCTCTTGGTAAATTCTGACCACTTTGTACTCGAACCTAACAGGATCGAAACCAAAGCCATAAGTAACTAAATTAGGCCACTTTCTTACCCGTTGTGGCTCAGGAAGGATGATATATTCTCTTGTTGTTGGATTGAGGATGTAAATACCATCAACATTACCGAAAAAGTAATTAAAACAGACAAATCCATGAACAGATCCAACTAGGAAAACTGGTTCAACAGGAAAGTAAAGTTGCAGATCAAGGTGAACATTTGAATCATGATCAAAGTTATAATCGACTACTAACTTCAAAAACTTTAAGGTGTTGGTCCTATTAGAGTTGAATTGGTGGATGATAATGGTAGCTGGAGATACTGAACGTGACAATTTTTTTTTTTTTTTTTTTTTTTTTTTTTTTTAAATTTAGATAATTTAAACGTGACAATTTTAAAAATTCGGAATCTAAGGTTAGGTTTAGAAGAGTTTTGGCGACGATTTTGACGTATAAGAGTGTGGTAGGAGGTAATGTTGAGAGAATTTGTAATAAGATTGGAGATGGAAGATCCAATAGGGATTTTTCTTCATCACTCATTTCTTACAACTCTTAGCTACTAAAGTTTTGATATTTATAGCGGGGATTTTTAATTATCACTCTCTTTGTTTTAATTTATGTTCTATTTTTCATTTTTTGAGACAATTTATTTTGATAGAATATTTATTTATACCTTTATTTTCTAAAATTAAATTTATATATTTGTAACCCTATATAAATAAAAATACTATAATTTATAATAATTGATAATTTAAAATATTTTAAAAGATCTACAAAAAATTTACAAGTAAAAATAAATTTATTTAAATTTCAAAATTCAAAAGTATCACGATAAATAAAAAGGAGGAAATATGATTTATAGTTCTATTTAAGTATATTCAAATGATCGAGTTGGTCAACACGGTAAAAGAGTTTCTGGGTCAAACTTGTACAACACGTATTCAATATTATAAAGGAAGAAATTATGTATTGGCAAAATGAGTAAAGCGAAAGTAAATTTGAAATAAAAAGACTATTAAATTGACATGTCGTCTTTGACTATGGACTAAACAAAAGAGAAAATGTTCGCAACTTATTTACAACCAAAACTAACTCACTAAAAAATACAAATTAAAAAAAGCTTAAGTACGTTCAGTGGGTTTCATGTGTATACGTTCAGGTAAGGGAATGTACCAAGCTATTAAAAAAAGGCATAATACATAAATATGCTTTTTATTTGACTTTGAATCATTTTATGTCCTTTAACTTTGGACGTGCACAAGTAGACACTTAAACTTGTATAAAGTTGAACAAATAGGCACACATGTCCTACATGTCATCCTACATGTCACTTTTGTCGTACGTGGTGTCCTACCGTATTTTGTCATGTAGGACTCATGTGTTTATTTATTTAAAAGTTAGATAGTCAAATTGTTTGTTTGTGCATTATGAAAGCTGAAGGTTAAAATTTGAAGCAAAAATTAGGATCCAATATATGTATTATGCCTAAAAAAAAGGTATAATACGTAAACATAACTCGTAACTTAGCTTTAGCGGATACTTATAACACAAGTAAATATTTAAATTTGTATAAAATCAAACATGTAGACACATGTGTTCTACATTACATAATACACGTAAAACGTCATATTGGACACGAAATTACCATATAGGGTGTCATGTAGGATGAATATATTTATTTGTTCAATTTCATACAATTTTAAGTGTCTACTTGAGCATATCCAAACTTAAAGGTCATACGCCAAGTTAGATGCATGTTAATGTACTACACTCTTTTACTGTTGTTTTCCAATTTTCCTATAAAATAATTTTTTTAAAACGTCTTTGGGTGAGAGAAAAATATAAAAAGGAAGCTTTTTGAAATCCATCGATTCATTCTCAATCTGATTTTGTTTAATATTAATTGGGCACTATAAAATATATTTTAATTGATTAATGTATATAATTTGGATATGATTTTATTAATGAGAAGATATATAATTACATAATTTTTGATCTTTTATATATACATTATTTTACTTATTACTTTTTCCGTCTCATTTTATGTGGCAATATTTGACGGAGCACAGAGTTTAAGAAATAAATGAAGACTTTGAAATTTTACCAAATTGCCCTTTAAAAAAGTCAAAAAGTAAACTCATTTTTCTCTCTCCTAATAAATGTATTGAAGTGTTATCATTAAGATTAAGTGCGACCAACAAGAATAAAAGAGGAATTGCACCTTTATTTACTTACTATATAGAAAAAATGACATTCTTTTTTGGGACTGACCAAAAAGGAAATGGTGCCACATAAAATAGGAAGAAGGGAGTATTACAAGTTTTTCTATACGTATATTACACATGATTATCAATTCAATATATATTTGTTATTATAAATAATATTATTTATTTAAGCTAAGACTTATACTACACTTTGCACAAAATAACATTACAAATTATTTTGTAATTATTTAAGGTGGATCATCATATATATATATATGTATGTATATAATAATGTTTATATTTAGGTTCAATCTCATAATTAGTCGTATTTCAATAATATTACCTTATAGACGATATTTGTTGTGCATTTTTCTTGTCATTTAACCGAATGTGTTTTGTACGTTTTTTTCATGTCAGATTGTTTGAATGTCATATGAACATGTTAAGATAGTAGCTATATTTTATTTTTTAAAACTATTTTTGGTACAAATTAATTTTTATTTTATAAGTTATAAAATAGTACACGATATTTTTGTTGTTGGATCTCATATTTGACTTTTCAATTGCTTATGTACACAAAATCAAAGATAGTTATCTGATTGTCTATAATTAACCAAAAAAAAATTAAAACGCAAGAAGAAGAAGAATAGTTTATAGTCAACAAAGAGTACTATAAACAAGTATATTTTGTATACCATGTGAAAAGTCATGATTATTCCGGCAAATCACATTTCTTTAAAGATAGTTACACCTTCTCTTAATTGAAACACTTTATTCGTGTATTAATAATTTTAGTATTGTTTAATTGCTTAATTGAACCAACAATAACTTTTAATTGGATTATTCATATACTAAATACTTGTGTCTATCAAGATACATATATCCTCAAAAGTTATTAGCATAATACATATATTAGACCATAAACTTGGCTTCAAATTTTAAATTTGTCCTCCAACTTTCATAATGCACAAACAGACACTTTAACTATCCAACTTTTAAATAAATAAACACATGAGTCCTACATGACAATATACGCGTAAAACACCGCGTTAGACAAAAAATGACATGTACGAGATATGCGTGTCTATTTGTTCAACTTTATACAAGTTTAATTGTCTATTTGTGCACACCCAAACTTGAAGGACATAACTGTGATTCGAAGCCAAGTTAAATGACATATTTGGTTTGATTTTAGAAATTTTAAAAATCGACTAGATTGATTTCATTCTAATTTTAACCAATAACCGATCCAAACTTGTAACGACCTGTTTAGTCGTTTTGAGCAGCAGATTTTATTTCTGGAAAAACTGGCTGAGACGACGGATCCCACGACGGACCGTCAAAGGCACGGCGGACCGTCATGGGCACGACGAACCGTCGAGGGTGTGTCGTTCCAAAACACTTAGAATTCTGAAAAATTGGGTACTGAAATCGACTCTCTGAACTTCGCGACGAAATGGCAGGACGGACCGTCACAGGCATGACGGACCGTCACAGGCCCTTCAGTAAATTTCAGTCTCTGAACTCTGTGACGACTCAGCAGGACGGACCGTCGCAGGCACGACGACCCGTCACAGACTGCGTAATCCCAGGCTGGGTCGGATTTCTGTTAAATGTTTTAAGGGGCGTTTTGGACTATTCCTGCTTATAATTATAAAGTTAGTGGTTGAATATTAATAATCCAATTTCTTGAGGGTTAAAGGAGATAACCTTAAATTAATTAGTGGGTTACTTTTGTCATCTTTTATACTTAATTATATGCTAATTAGGGTAAAAGAAAAAGGGTTGGAATAAGAAAAATAGAAAGAACAGAGAGAGAAAGGGAGAAACGATCGATTGAGAGAGGAACAAGAAGAAAGCAAAGATTTTGAGGATTAGCTTGCTTGATCACAATTCTTCGGTGGAGGTAGGTTATGGTTTATGCTTTTCGTAGTAAACTCTTAATAATGAATGATATGTATTGGGTAGTGTTGTAAACCCTTCTATATGCTTAATTATTTGCTTGCATGATGTGATGATATAATGGTGATGAAATAAGCATGATGAAGCTATTGAATCCTAAATCTTGAAAACCTCTTGTTAATGATGATGCCTTGGTATAAAAGAAGGCTTGATGAACTAAAAGAATAAGGTTAGGGGATCGGGTGTCACGAACCGACACGTAGTAATAGGGGGATCGGGTGTCACAAACTGACACGTAGTAATAGGGGATCGGGTGTCACAAACCGACACGTAGTAATAGGGGATCGGGTGTCAAGAACTGACACGTAGTAATAGGGGATCGGGTGTCATGAACCGACACGTCGTATTAGAGGGATCGGGTGTCACGAACTGACACGTAGTATTAGGGGGATCGGGTGTCACGAACCGACACGTAGTATTAGGGGATCGGAGTGTCACGTTCCGACACAAGAGGAATAAAGAGAGTGAATCTTGAATTATGTTAATATACTCAATTTAATGAACCTATTTTTCAAATGAGTATGATGGGGAGGCGTGAGTCCTCATTGATGTGCTTGGTGTTGTGACCAAGGGTTATGAAAATTGTAGATGCCGCATGTTGAGTATTGTAGTTGATTTTATGATATTATCTGATATATACTGTTTTCTATTTTGAGTTGGCCGATGTTATCTACTCAGTACCTGTGTTTTGTACTGACCCCTACTTGTATGTTTTTCTCTTGTTATTTGTGGAGTACAGCAAACGTGCCGTCGTCTTCAACTCAACCACAACTCTAGCCAGTCTGCATCACGTCAGAATTCAGGGTGAGCTATTGTTCCTAGCTCGGACTGGATTCTCTCTCATTCATGTCTTGATGTCCTTGAAGTTCGGACATGGACCATCTGTTTTCTTATTTTAGCTTCCTAGACACTCTTAGATTTAGTAATTTATAGAATGTTCTTGTGGTGATGACTTCCAGATTTTGGGGATAGTGATTGATAAATTTTAGAAGTTATTAATTGATTTTGTTAATGAGTTTTAAGTCTTCCGCATTATTTTATGTTTATTATGATTGAAATGTTGGGGTTTGGATTGGTTGGTTCGCTCACATAGTAGGATAAGTGTGGGTGCCACTCGCGGCTCGTTTTGGGTCGTGACAAAACTGAACCATGAACACCCCTATTCACCGG